TCTGAGGTTATTGATATTTCTCCCGGCAATCTTGATTCCAGCTTGTGCTTCCTCCAGCCCAGAGTTTCTCATGATGTACTCTGCACATAAGTTAAATAAGCAGGGTGACAATGTACAGCCTTGATGTACTCCTTTTCCTATTTGGAACCAGTCTGTTGTTCCATGTCCTGTTCTGACTGTTGCTTCCTGACCTGCCTACAGGTTTCTCAAGAGGCAGGTCAGGTGGTCTGGTATTCTGATCTCCTTCAGAATTTTCCACAGTTTATTGTGATCCACAAAGTCAAAGGCTTTGGCATAGTCAACAAAGCAGAAATAAATGTTTTTCTGGAACTCTCTTGCTTTTTCAGTGATCCAGCAGATGTTGGCAATTCGATCTCTGGTTTCTCTGTCTTTTCTAAAACAAGCTTGGACATCTGGAAGTTCACGGTTCATGTATTGCTGAAGCCTGGCTTGGAGAATTTTGAGCATTACTTTACTAGCGTGTGAGATGAGTGCAATTGTGTGGTAGTTTGAGCATTCTTTGGGATTGCCTTTCTTTGGGATTGGAATGAAAACTGACCTTTTCCAGTCCTGTGGCCACTGCTGAGTTTTCCAAATTTGCTGGCATATTGAGTGCAGCACTTTCACAGCATCGTCTTTCAGGATTTGAAATAGCTCAACTGGAATTCCATCACCTCCACTAGCTTTGTGTGTAGTGATGCTTTCTAAGGCCCACTTGACTTCACATTCCAGGATGTCTGAATTTAGGTGAGTGATCACACCATCATCATTATCTGGCTGGTGAAGATCTTTTTTGTACAATTCTTCTGTATATTCTTGCCACCTCTTCTTAATATCTTCTGCTTCTGTTAGGTCCCTACCATTTCTGTCCTTTATTGAGCCCATCTTTGCATGAAATGTTCTCTTGATATCTCTAATTTTCTTGAAGAGATCTCTAGTCTTTCCCATTCTGTTGTTTTCCTCTATTTCTTTGCATTGATCGCTGAGGAAGGCTTTCTTATCTCTCCTTGCTATTCTTTGGAATTCTGCATTCACATGGGTATATCTTTCCTTTTCTCCTTTGCTTTTCACTTCTCTTCTTTTCACAGCTATTTGTATGGCCTCCTCAGACAGCCATTTTGCCTTTTTTGCATTTCTTTTTCTTGGGATGGTCTTGATTACTGTCTCCTGTACAATATCATGAACCTCTGTCCATAGTTCATCAAGCACTCTGTCTATCAGATCTAGTCCCTTAAATCTATTTCTCACTTCCATGGTATAGTCATAAGGGATTTGATTCAGGTCATACCTGAATGATCTAGTGGTTTTCCTTACTTTCTTCAATTTAAGTCTGAATTTGGCAATAAGGGGTTCATGATCTGAGCCACAGTCGGCTCCTGGTCTTGTTTTTGCTGACTGCTTAGAGCTTCTCCATCTTTGGCTGCAAAGAATATATAGTCAGTCTGATTTCGGTTTTGACCATCTGGTGATGTCCATGTGTAGAATCTTCTCTTGTGTTGTTGGAATAGGGTCTTTTCTATGACCAGTGTGTTCTCTTGGCAAAACTCTAGTAGCCTTTGCCCTGCTTCATTCCATACTCCAAGGCCAAATTTGCCTGTTATTCCAGGTGTTTCTTGACTTCATACTTTTGCATTCCAGTCCCCTATAATGAAGAGAACATCTTTTTTGGGTGTTAGTTCTGGAAGGTCTTATAGGTCTTGATAGTCCTGTTCAACTTCAGCTTCTTCAGCATTACTGGTTGGGGCATAGACTTGGATTACCGTGGTATTGAATGGTTTGCCTTGGAAACAAACAGAGATCATTCTGTCATTTTTGATTGCATCCAAGTACTGCATTTCAGACTCTTGTTGACTATGATGGCTACTCCATTTCTTCTAAGGGATCCCTGCCCACAGTAGTATATATAATGGTCATCTGTGTTAAATTCACCCATTCCAGTCTATCTTAGTTCGCTGATTCCTAGAATGTTGATGTTCACTCTCGCCATCTCCTGTTTGACCACTTCCAATTTGCCTTGATTCATGGACTTAACATTTCAGGTCCTTATGCAATATTGCTCTTTACAGCATCAAACCTTGCTTCTATCACCAGTCCCATCCACAACTGGGGGTTGTTTTTGCATTGGCTCCATCCTTTTATTCTTTCTGGAGTTATTTCTCCACTGATCTCCAGTAATCAAAGAAAACCATAATTTGAAAAGATACATGCACCCCAATATTCACTGCAGCTCTATTTGCAATAGCCAAGACATGGAAACAACAGAAATGTTCACTGACAGAGTAGTAGATAAAGAAGATGTGGTACGTATATACAATGAACAAAATAATGCCATTTGCAGCAACATGGATGAAGCTAGAGATAGTCATACTGAGTGAAGTAAATCAGACAGAAAAAGACAAATAATATCCTGTAATAACTTATATGGGAAAAGAATCTAAAGAAGAGTGGATATATGTATTTATATATAACTGACTCACTTTGCTATATAGAAACTAATACAACATTGTACATCAACTTTAATACAAATTTTAAAAAGAAATGATAAGGAATTTATTGGAGCTTAATTATTCAATCAGTTGAAGAACTGATGCTTTTGAACTGTGGTGTTGAAGAAGATTCTTGAGAGTCCCTTGGACTGCAAGGAGATCCAACCAGTCCATCCTAAAGGAGATCGGTCCTGAGTGTTCATTGGAAGGACTGATGTTGAAGCTGAAACTCCAATACTTTGGCCACCTGATGTGAAAAGCTGACTCATTTGAAAAGACCCTGATGCTGGGGAAGATCGAAGGTGGGAGGAGAAGGGGACGATAGAGGATGAGATGGTTGGATGGCATCACCAATTCAACGGATATGAATGTGAGGAAACTCTGGGAGACAGTGAAGGACAGGGAAGCCTGGCATGCTGCAATCCATGGGGTGGCAAAGAGTCGGACACGACTGAGCGACTGAACTGAACTGAACTGAAGGATAAGGATAGATTTATACTTTGGGACATATGGCATGGCACAGCAGACTAAGTTATGTTACTTAGAACCTTCATGCAATTCCCACCTGATACACAAACCTTCTTTTTCCTCAAAATAATTTGTCACTCTTTCTTCCAGACTAATGGTCAGAGGTAAGTTATAGATTAGTTGCAGGATATGTCAGAATTTAGGATTAAATGGATTACCATTGAGCCAAATAAAGAAAAATTACTTCAAGCAGTGGCTAATAAGTTTATTTACTCATTCTATAATGAATGGTTAAAACTTAAAATCTCATCTATAAAATGAGCTAGGAAGTACCCTTTACCTTAAAGTTACTTAGAAGTGGTGTTTATGGGATTCCTTATCCCACCCCATCCCCACCCCAAAGGTGGAAAAATAGCTTTTGATGTAAAAATTTGGAGAAATTCTTGATTAGACTCATAATGCTTAAAGGTAGGTCAGACGGGCGGCGGGGGCAGCACATCTCTATTTTACATCGGAGAGGACATACTGTGTCTTCTCACTAAATATCTTTCGATGGCTAGGAAAGCACTGTGGTTCCTTGATGAAGGACTCGTAAAGCCTAAGGAATAAAGTGTGCAGGACCTAGAGAGGGCAGGTTCCCACTGGAGCACTCACCCCCTGACTTAACTACAGGGCAGTACAGAGGACGAAAAGCAGTCTCAGCGTCCACTGAACTAGGACATCTAACAGGAGTCTTATGTTCAGCAAATATTTAAGGATACCTGCTCAGTGACCTGCACTGGGCTGAGCCCTGGGAGAAGACGGACAAGATGTAGTCGCTGACCTCCATACACCCAGGCCCAGCATTCTGAGGTCAGGCTCTAATTCTAAATGACCCTGGCTAAGGAAGGAAGTGTGTTTCAAGAAGCCCTCATCAGTTTAAGGGCTGCTGAGCAAATGCCAGCAGCATTTATGTTGACGAAACACCAAATAGATCCACTGAAACAGAAAAACTTTCTCTCCTGCTTGCATATTTTCCCACCAGGGATGCTTCTCTCTGCAAGCCAGACCTAAAGGAATTTGTTTTCTCCTACTGGGGGTTCCTAACCTCACAGAAATCTGCAGAAGCACCAAGTAAGCAAAGTATCAGAACACTATGTTTCAGTCCTGGTTTAACATTAACTCTATGGTTTGGTTTAGTCGCTAAGTCGTGTCCGACTCTTTAGAGACCCCATGGATTGCAACCCGCCAGGCTCCTCTGTCTATCGAATTTTCCAGGCAAGAATCCCGGAGTGGGTTGCCCTTTCCTTTTCCACGGGCGTCTTCCTGAGCCAGGGATGGAACCCGCGTCTCCTGTGTCTCCTGCATTGCAGGCAGATTCTTTGCTGCTTGAGCCATTAATTCTTGGCAAATCATTTCTTGGAGATCCGCTCTTCTTCTCTGTAAAATAAGCAGCTAGGAAGTGAACTGCAAAAAGTTTGAAAACGTTTCTGAAAGCGTACGATGGTAAAAGCCTGCAAGAATGCTCGACCTAGTTCATCTCTAGTGGGCTACAATCCGTAGCAGCTTTCGCTTTGGCTTCGCCGCGCCCTCGGTACCGCCCCGCCCCTTCCACTCGGTAGCCTGCGCTTGTGCGCCCTAAGGCCCTTCTCGGCTCCCGTCGCTTCCTTTTCCTTCTCAGCCCCGCCCACCGCCGGCACCGCCGTTTCCGGTTCCGCCGAGAAACGGCCGTATCGCTTCGGTCCCTTCTGTAGCCCTCCCGTTTCTCTATCGTTTCTGAGGATTACGGGGTCGGTTGGACGGGAAGTTACCCATAAAGTTTTACTGTTTGAAAGCCGGCCTGGATTGGCCGTGCCCATTATCCGTTCCCTTGTTTGTTTGTCCGCAGTCCCTCTCGGCTACAGGGAACAAGCTTCAGGGCGTCATGGCCAGGGGCCGCCGCGGCCGGGCGGAGCTGAGGCCGCCTTTCGCTGCCCACGCGCTCCCTTGGCTCCCGGGTGCGCCGGCGTCCACCTCGGTCTGAGCGCAGCCCCCTCCGCGTCCACGGGCCGCCTCGCGCCGGACCCCATGGCCTCCGAGGCGCCGCCGCCTCCGTTGTCTCCGTCGCCGCCTCCCTCCCCCGAGCCTGAGCTGGCCCAGCTGAGGCGCAAGGTGGAGACGTTGGAACGCGAGCTGCGGAGCTGCAAGCGACAAGTGCGGGAGATCGAGAAGCTGCTGCATCACACGGAGCGGCTGTACCAGAGCGCCGAGAGCAACAACCAGGAGCTCCGCACCCAGGTGCGCCGTCCGGTTCCAGCCCCACGCCCCACCTAGCCCGCGGCGAGGCCTTCGAGGGCTGGGGTCGCCTCGGGAGGGCTCCCTGGCAGGGCCCTGACTGCTTTAGAGATTACCTGGAAGAGTTAAAAGTTTTGTGCTATTTTAATTACAAGAACCTTTGGAACAAACTTGAAGAGTTGGGGTACTCGGTTTAGATGAAATGCGTGTGCTGCAGTAGCGGCCGGGCGTGAAGTGAACTTAAGGACCTTGAGTTTTCATTCTCACTTGTAAAATCCCCTTGGCAGTAGGCACATTTATAATATTCCAGATCACTTTTTGAGTTTGTAAAACCCCGATTGCAATCATAGGCCCATTTATCATTGTCTATAGAAGAGTGAACTGAAATGGAGCTTTCCAGTTCCAGTTCAGTCGCTCAGTCGTCCGACTCTTTACGACCTTGGTTGAGCCTTGAATTGAGCCTTGGTTGCCCATAAAATGAAAATGATGGCACCAACTGATGAAGATTAAGTCAAATTAAACGTCAATAAATTGTTTCACCGTTTCGATCGCTATGGATATGTGAGGGGGCTTCCCTCGTGGCTCAGTGGTAAAAGAATCCACCTGCCAATGCAGGAGACATGAGTAGGGAGGTCCGGAAAAATCGTGTGGAGCACGTAATAGCAACCCCCTCCAGTATTCTTGCCTGGAAAATCCCATGGACAGAGGAGCCTTGGGGGCTACATACTGTCCATAGGGTCGCAAAGAGTCAGGCACGATGGAGCGACTAAACAGCAAGAAGGTATTAATGTGAGGTTGTTCTGGGCATTTATCTTGAGTTGACTGGTGGAAGTTGGGAAGATAGAACTCTGCTTATTAAAGACACTAAGCAGCTAACTCTTTCCCATAGAATACAGTAAGGGTAAATATTTAACAAACATCTGCTGCTACCACCAAAGCTGGAACTAGAGTGAAGCAAACAAGCCACCTAAGGCACAAAATTTAAGGAGGCACTCACACTTAGGCTCACGAAAGTTTAGGATAGTACCTGAGAATCACTACCCCCTTGAATTTTTAAACAGCATAATTTTCCCAGCTTGATTTTTTTGGGCTATTGCACTCTTTCCCAAGAAGTTATATTTACACGTAATTATTAATTTCAGCTAAACTCTTGACTTTTGACATATATTGGTACATTTCCTAAAACCACATATGTAGGCTGAAAATTAAAGTATCAGACTTTGTTATGCTTTGTCAAATAAGCTATGCAAGTAAGTGCTGAGTTGCAGTGACTTTCTGTAGCCATTGTTTGGAGTTGTTCATACTATGATGTAGAAAATTTGTGTTTGGTTACTCAACAGCTATTTCTTGGACACCTACAGGAGACTACAAATAGGGTTAAAATATTGTGGGGAATGGGGAGCAAAATTTGATAGCCTTAAAAAAAAAACCTTATAATTCTAAATTGTGAAAGTACTGCTTGCTACAGGGATTCTAAAAACGTTTCAGCTAGTCTTTGAAGAGCCAGCATTTTGGTTATTAGTGTTAACTTGATAGTTGTCTAATATGAAAAACTGAAATGTACAGAAAGCTGTAACGTTCCTAGTGATAGTAATGACTCTTTACTATCTTTCTAGTCAGCCTCCCCTGGTGTTGGGTGGAGTTTGTTAACTGTCATTGCTAATTACTAGATAGTGGTTTATCTGGAGCAGTAAAAAATTGGCTTGAGAAATGAAGTTGAACTAGCAGGAAAATACATAATGTATAGGCTTTGGAGTCAAAGAAAGTTTGCGCACATTACTTTATCGCTTTAGATTTCTCATGTTTAAAATGGGGATTAAGACAGCCAGTTTGTAAGGTGGTTGTAAGAATGAATGAGATGTCATCCAAAGTGCCAAGTGCAGTGCCTAGAATGTGACATGTGCTAAATAAATTATCTTCACAGTAATGGTAGTAGTAGCCAGAGCCAGGACTAGGGCAAAGCAATCAGTAGCCTAAGGCGAAAAATTCAACGGGGTACTGATTCTCAGGTACTATCCTAAATTTTCATGAGCCAAAGTGTGAGTGCCTCCTTAAATTTTGTGCCTTAGGTGCCTTGCTTGCTTCACTCTAGTTCCAGTTTTGGTGATAGCAGCAGATCTGATCATTTATGAAATGCATAGATAATCAGTATATAATCAGTCTTACCACGTTTCTCTTTTTAACCTCGGTGTTACATGAAAGAAATACGTGGAAGCTTGTATTTTAGTTTCATGCTTATAAGGAATATAATCTCACATTGCATTATCAAAAAGCAAGAGAATTCCAGAAAAATAATCTATTTCTGCTTTATTGACTATACCAAAGCCTTTGACTTTGTGGATCACAATAAACTGTGGAAAATTCTGAAAGAGATGGGAATGCCAGACCACCTGACCTGCCTCTTGAGAAACCTATATGCAGGTCAGGAAGCAACAGTTAGAAGTGGACGTGGAACAACAGACTGGCTCCAAATTGGGAAAGGAGTACATCAAGGCTGTATATTGTCACCCTGCTTACTTAACTTATATGCAGAGTACATCATGAGAAATGCTGGGCTGGATGAAGCACAAGCTGGAATCAAGACTGCTGGGAGAAATATCAATAACCTCAGATATGCAGATGACACCACCCTTATGGCAGAAAGTGAAGAACTAAAGAGCCTCTTGATGAAAGTGAAAGAGGAGAGTGAAACAGTTGGCTTAAAGCTCAACATTCAGAAAACTAAGATCATGGCATCCAGCCCCGTCACTTCATGGCAAATAGATGTGGAAACAGTGGCAGACTATTTTTTTGGGCTCCAAAATCACTGCAAATGGTGATTGCAGCCATGAAATTAAAAGACGCTTACTCCTTGGAAGGAAAGTTATGACCAACCTAGATAGCATATTAAAAAGCGGAGACATTACTTTGTCAACAAAGGTCCGTCTAGTCAAGGCTATGGTTTTTCCAGGGGTCATGTATGGATGTGAGAGTTGGACTGTGAAGAAAGCTGAGCGCCGAAGAATTGATGCTTTTGAACTGTGGTGTTGGAGAAGACTCCTGAGAGTCCCTTGGACTGCAAGGAGATCCAACCAGTCCATCCTCAAGGAGATCAGTCCTGAGTGTTCATTGGGAGGACTGATGCTGAAGGTGAAACTCCAGTACTTTGGCCCCCTGATGTGAAGAGCTGACTTATTTGAAAAGACCCTGATGCTGGGAAAGATTGAGGGCAGGAGAAGAGAGGGACGATAGAGGATGAGGTGGTTGGGTGGCATTACTGACTCAATGGATGTGGGTTTGGGTGGACTCTGGGAGTTGGTGATGGACAGGGAGGCCTGGCGTGCTGCAGTCCATGGGGTTGCAAAGAGTCGGACCCGACTGAGTGACTGAACTGAACTGAACTGAATCTCACATTGAGATCCTGTCTGACTGAAGTTGCTAATAAGGGTGCTGTTATCTGCTGATGGGTGTTATTCACACTCTTGCCCTGACCTTGACCTTCAGTGAGGCACGGGGAGGCCAGATGCCCCTCTCAGGCAGTCACCTCTGTTTCCTTCCGCTCCAGTTATTTAGGTATAAGATGACTATTTCAAGAAAAAAGTGTGTTAACATATATGAGTGACATTATTTAAGTGAATAGTTAATTCCAGGTGGAGAACACTGAATGATACTAGGTAATTTAATTCTCCTCAGAGAGAGCTGCTGACCAGTTAAAATGTTAGTATAAAGGCATTCTTATTTTGTTAGAAATAAAACAAATCTGTTCAGAGTCTTACTAATTTAGTCAGTCTGATTTTTGGAAGGAATAGTCTGAAGTTTTGCAAGAGAGTATAGGAATAAAAAACATCTCCATTTGCAGATGTAAAAGGTGAAAGCCAATTATAGTATTTTCAGTTTTTCTGAAAGGAAACTAGCTGATACTGGTACTTCTCCAAACTTTTACCAGGAAAAATAATTATTGTAATTTTAGGAGAATAAGGTACCTATTAGTAGATTGCTGTATGGTTTATTTTTCCTAAAGCCTTGTTTCCTTTCAGGTAGAAGAGCTCAGTAAAATACTCCATTGTGGGAGAAACGAAGATAATAAGAAGTCTGATGTAGAAGTACAAACAGAGAACCACCCTCCTTGGTCAATCTCAGGTATTCCCCTATAGTGAAGCTATCCGAATACTTTTACCTTCAAATCATACTAATGGGGCTTTTTCTTTAAACTTAAAAAATATATACATCCAGATAAATAGAGCTGTTACAAAGTTGACTCTTCTCTATATGATTTGGTATTTTCGGATGATCTATTTGGTGGGAAACTAGAACTTATTGTCACTCTTATAAATACCTAGTATTGCTGATGTTTTCAGTGGCACATTCACTGAGTAGTTTTTGCTCTCCTGTAAACCGTCTCCTGTCTTCTTGCCTTTCTTGTGACCGGGGGCGTGTGTTTTCTTGTTGATGCATTCCACTTAGTATTGATTCAGTGTCAGTCTCTTAGGTCCTTCTGGGAGGAGGGTGGGCCTACAACCATGGCCTCATCAATGGCATGTTGTTGTGAGGCAAAAAAACTGAACACTTGGGTTTTAATAAATAGAAATCACAAGAAATGGTCTTTCCCAATCAATTTTGTCTTGTTTATTCTGTGCACAGCTTAGCTAAATTACAATATTATGTTTTTTAAAAAGTCAGCACCATGATTGAAATTTGATGGAAAAATGAGCCCTTGACATGTTGTCTTTATTCCATTGTCATTTGATATTCAACGATACTAAGGTATGTGGTTAGATATTTTTAAGAGTTGCTAATTATTTTTTTGACAGAGCACAACCTATCTATCTGTTTTCTTTTTATACTCTTGCTATGGAATTATCCAAAACTGTTTACCTTTTTTTCTTTTTAGCTTGACAGCTAGCATACTGAAGGTGACATTAGAATCAAAGATACATACTTCTGCAGATTTACTTGCACTATTCATTTTAGTCTGTTAAAATGTGTATTATTGTAAAAATATGAGTTGCATGCAGTGTGTGCCCTTTTGTGTTCGCTGGCAATGTTTTGGAATTAAGTTCTTTTTATATACAATATTCTAATATGATATCACTTTTTGTTTTTCCAATAGATTATTACTATCAAACGTACTATAATGAAGTTAATCTTCCAAATAAAACATCTGAACTCTCAGTTCAGGAAGATAAGGATGTTGAAGCTTCTACTTTTAATTCTAAAGACCAGTCACACATAGAAAATGATACTTATGCTGGTACTGATGTAACAGAAAATGTTAATTTTGGACAAGAGGACCATTTTGCCTCGAATTCACAGGTAATAGAGTGCTTTACCTGAAACTGTTATTACAGGAACTTGTTCTTTGTTGTTATCATGGAGAAAAATAGAGTTCTTTCTTTTATCACAGCATATGCAACGGTTGTAAACATGCTGTAATTATGTGTAATTATGTAGTAAATTATACACTTTTTGAGAAACAAATTAGAACTTACTCATATGTGTAATTGTTTTCCGACTCTATTGTGTTCCACAAAAAAGTATGATACACATAAACTAAAATAGAATTTGTCAGTATGTTTTGACTCAACCAAAAAATCTTGAACAACCACAGTACCATGTTCACACCAACTTCTTGTAATGCTTCCTTTATGTCTAATATCATGCCGTTGTCAAGTTTCCCAGAATGTTTTATAAATAAGTTTCTACAGTTTGTTTGAATCAGGATCCTGTAAGGTTTATACAGGGCAACTGCTTAATCTGTGATATATAATTCATAGCTTTCCTCACCCATCTATTTTCTAAAATTGTTTCCCTTTGCACCTGTAACTATTAAAGAATCCTGATCATTCAATCTTAAAGAATAGTTCAGTCTGTATTTTGTGGATTGCTTCCCTGTGGTATTAGATAATATTTGAATAATGGTCACTCACTTGTGTCTTCAAAACTGGGTTAGATTTGAATTAACTGACATACATTTTTTAAAGGGAATCAAATTGTCCTTGATAGCCATCCCTTTCCATTGCAGAAAGTGAGGTCTTATATTCTAAATAGTTATAGATCTATTTATTGTTCCAAATTCTGCTACTTTCTGTGTAAGGATGTTTTTGCCCTATTTGACATGATTGTACCGTATCCAGGAGCCAGCGTCTGCGTTAGCAGCAGAGAGCACACCCTTAGAAGGCTCGTCACTAGCTGAAAGCTTGAGAGCTGCAGCAGAAGCTGCGGTGTCCCAGACTGGCTTTGCTTACGATGAGAACACTGGATTGTATTTTGATCACAGCACTGGATTCTACTACGATTCCGTAAGTATCTCAGACCTTTCCATACTGGATGGTTGTGTTCTTAGCTGCGTAATATGAAGCCTTAGGTTGAATTAAGAAAAGCAGGGAGCTGCATGTAAAAAGTGTTTGATTCAGAGCGACTTGATAAGATAAAGATTTATAAAATAGCTTATGATACTGTACTTTTATGTTTATTTAATTAGATGAGTTGTGTTATTATAGATTGCTATTTTAGAGAGATCTAATAACCTTTACATGTAAAGTAACATACAAAAATGTTAGCGTTCAGTCGCTCAGTCCTGTCCAACTTTTTGCGACCCCATGAATCGCAGCACGCCAGGCCTCCCTATCCATCACCAACTCCCGGAGTTTACTCAAACTCATGCCCATCGAGTCGGTGATGCCATCCAGCCATCTCATCCTCTGTCGTCCCCTTCTCCTCCTGCCCCCAATCCCTCCCAGCATCAGGGTCTTTTCCAATGAGTCAGTTGTTTGCATGAGGTGGCCAAAATACTGGAGCATATTTATTAATAAAAAGAGATGAGAACTGCATTTTGTAAAATGTTTAAGAACTTAACATTTTTTCATAGAATTTATACAGAAGTAACATTGTTAGTCTAGGCTTGGGGGTGAGATTTTTTCTTAACTGTTTCAAATACCTCTATCTTTGTGAATTTGTTTTAGTTCACAGAGGAGTCTTTTTTTAAAAAATTCTCTATGGCATGTTTATTATTAGTTAGTGTTTTATTTTCTGAGGCTTTTAAGCATTCTACTTAAAAAAAAATCAATCTGTTAACAGAACTAGGGAATTAGTGTGGAATCAGAAATACAATGAACCACTATGACAAAATCAGAAAATAAAATTCTTGATTTATAATGCAGTGTTTTGACTGTTGAAGATCTAGTACTCAGTTGGATTTTTTCAGGCTTTGATGACAGTAATGGTGGAACTCAGTATACCCACATTCTTTAACCTCTGTGGTCTACAAATATGATCTAGTCCTCAGGAATTACAGAATGTAGTGAGTGCCACAAAGTGGAGCAGATATTCATCATTCCAGTTATAGGAACTGTTATTAACTAATCTAGGGAACATAATGATAAGAGTAAATATTTTAGTTAGGTAATCGATTTCATTAGCTTGTCAGTTTGAACTTCGTATAGTACTTTGTAAATACTTTGTAAAGAGAGGGTTTTCTTTCTTAGGAGTATGCCAATTGAAAATGTTAATTAATACCCAGAAAATAAGTGTTTAAACTCTGTTATTACCAAAGAAAATAATGATTAGTTAATTGGTTTCTAGGAAAATACGCAATTTCCAGGTGTATGACATTAGTCTTTGTCATTTTTCTACCTTCCTTTCTGTAACTTTCCTCCTGACATCTCTTCCATAAATGCTTAATTACATTCTGCAGGTTGTTGTCTTTGGAGTAGGGGCTTCATTGTTCTGGCATTTTTATTTTGCTAGTTTTCATTTTATTTTAATTAAATAAAATTTTTCTTACATATTTTAAATGTCTGTATTTCAGGCTGAAAGGTAGCAGGTTAAAAAGATTTCAGTTGTAGAAGTTCTGTTATTGCTGGAAATAAAGATTTAAAGCTTCCATTCAGTTTTTTAGCTAAAAGAAAGATAGTGAGAATTATAAATATTTTTTTGTAAGAGAGTTACAAAATGAATTAGTAAATTGCAATAGTATCAACACTTAGAAAAATAATTCTTTTTCAGGAAGCTTTAGTTGCTTAATCTTGGTGTATTGCAAGATGTTTCCAGGTCTGATCTGCATGGATTTATGATGTAAATAAGATACAGACTATTCAGTTAAATCTTGGCCAGTATCTAATAAATGCAGATGATTCTATAATTTTATCTTTCTAGTTTTTATCCATAATTGACCAAAATTCTATACTGAATGGCTGCTTTACAGTGAGTCTATGTAGTTCTTAGTGTAGAATTGATTAGTGAAGACAATTGTTTGATTTTTTTGTATAGAATGTTATGTTACAGTATTCATGAGCTTAATTTTATTTTCAAATTTTCTCCAGAGTTTTGAATCATGAAGAGGAAGAGGAAAATCTTTCTTTTATGACATTAAGAGGAGGGTTTGAGGAGGGTTTAGGGGTTTATACTACCAAATCATTGCCTTGTAATTATATAGATAATGAGACGAATTGCTTTTATGTGGTCAGCTTTTTCTGATGCATACCTTAGTTTTCACGACTTGTAAAGGTTTCTTGTTGAACCACATGAAGTTGCTATTTCTGTAAGCATAAACATGGTCAAATGTTGGCAATTACATGAGATTTAATTTAGTATATAAATGTATTTATTTTCCACACTAGGAGAACTAGAGGAGATATTGAATGGTAAAGTATTTTGAAAATTACAAGCCTTTTATTATGTTATCTTTATTTATTTTTCCAGAAAAAACTGTAATTCTTTAAAGAGACACATTTACTAGCAAGTTTAGTTTTCTGCTTTGTGTCATCCTGAATAGAACTTATTGTCCCCTTCACTTTGAAAGGAGAGCCAGCTGTACTATGACCCCTCCACTGGGATCTACTACTACTGTGACGTGGAAAGCGGCCGCTACCAGTTTCATTCTCGAGTGCATCTGCAGCCTTATCAGACTTCCGGCACCAAACACAGTAAAGACAAGAAACTGAAGAAGAAAAGGAAGGATCCAGATTCTTCTGCAGCAGGTGAAGAAAAGGTAATATCGTAATTTTTAAAACTTATACAGTGGTGCTATGGTTAAGCCAATTTTTTTTTTACATTCTACTTTATTTACTTGGCTGCTCTGGGTCTTTTTGTGGTTTCGTGCAGGCTCTTTATCACGGTGTGTGGGCTTCTCTGATTGTAGTGCCCAGGCTTATCTGGCCAGCAGCATATGGGATCTTAGTTCCTCCAGCAGGGATAGAACCTGTGTTCCCTGCTTTGGAAGCTGAATTCCTAACCACTAGACCACCAGGGAAGTCCCACAAATTTTTGATGAAACTGAAAATCATTTAGTAACTCTGCTTTTTTGTTTTTAATTTAACTAGACTATATTTGCTTTACAGTGTTGTGTTAGTTTCTGGTATATAACACAGTCTATATACAGACACAGTGCGTGTCTCCTCTGCCTTGGATTTCCTTCCCGTTTAGGTCACCACAGAGCTCTGAGTAGGGCTCCCTGTGCGATAGCAGTTGGTTCTGTACAGATTACTCATCTATTTTATACACAACAGTGTGTCTGTGACTTCCTGGTGATGCAGTGGGGAGCACTCTACCACCAGTGCTGGAGACACAGGAGACGCAAATTCAGTCCCTGGTTCCAGGAGATCCCCTGGCCTAGGAAACGGTAACCCACTCCAGTATTCTAGCCTGGAGAATCCCATGGACAGAGAAGCCTGGTGGTCTACCGTCCACAGGGTCACAGAGTCGGACACGACCGAGCACCTGAGCACACACACACAGTGTATACATGCCAGTCCCAATCTCCCTGTCCACCCTACCCAGTAAGTCTGCATTTTAAATATAGCCTTTAATTGGAATATTATATCATTATAATACTGTTATAATAACAAGATACCAGAACCTTATCAATCAAGAAACTTTTACAGGGGGCAAACATGGACTTTTTTTTTTTCTTTAACAAATTCTCAATTCCTAGAAGTAGAAAAAATTTTTTTCTTCTTTTCAGCCTGAAATAAGCCTTCTTTTATAGACCACTGAAAAAATTTTTTAAAGTTTGAAGCAGGTAAATATAGGGCAGATGAAGTACTCTTGTGTTGTGTAATTTGGAAGAGGACCATTCAGAGCATCTGTTGAGCTACTGTCAGTGTACAACTCACAACAGAAGAAAAACAGTTTATAAGCAGCTGTGGGTAAAAGTTCAGCATTCTTAGTTATGTTGAGCAGTTACTTATGTTAGGAAACTTAAGAAAAAAGTCCACTGCTAGCAAATATAGGATATATGTATATTTATTAGTTTAAATTGGTATCTTATGGGAAAATAGGTTGCTTGCTTGCATGGGTGCTCAGTCATGTCTGGCTCTTTGTGACCCCATGTCTGTTTCTATTTTGTAAGTAAGTTTATTTGTGTCATGTTTTAGATTCCATGTATAAGTGATTTATAGAATACTTGTCTTTTTCTGATCTACTTCATTTAGGATGATGATCTCTGGTTGTATCCACATTGCTGCAAATGGCGTGATCCTTTTTTATGGCTGAGTAGTAGTCTGTTGTGTATATACACCACCTCTTTATCAGTTGATCTGTCTCTGAACTTTTTTTTTTTTAATTTATTTTTTCCATTTATTTTTATTAGTTGGAGGCTAATTACTTTACATCATTGCAGTGGTTTTTGTCATACATTGAAATGAATTAGCCATGGATTTACATGTATTCCCCATCCCCGTCCCCCCTCCCACCTCCCTCTCCACCCGATCCCTCTGGGTCTTCCCAGTGCACCAGGCCCGAGCACTTGTCTCATGCACCCAACCTGGGCTGGTGATCTGTTTTGCCCTAGATAATATACATGTTTTGATGCTGTTCTCTTGAAACATCCCACCCTCGCCTTCTCCCAGAGTCCACAAGTCTGTTCTATACATCTGAGTCTCTTTTTCTGTTTTGCATATAGGGTTATCGTTACCATCTTTCTAAATTCCATATATATGTGTTAGTATACTGTAATGGTCTTTATCTTTCTGGCTTACTTCGCTCTGTATAATGGGCTCCAGTTTCATCCATCTCATTAGAACTGATTCAAATGAATTCTTTTTAATGGCTGAGTAATATTCCATGGTGTATATGTACCACAGCTTCCTCATCCATTCGTCTGCTGATGGGCATCTAGGTTGCTTCCATGTCCTGGCTATTATAAACAGTGCTGTGATGAACATTGGGGTGCACGTGTCTCTTTCAGATCTGGTTTCCTCGGTGTGTATGCCCAGAAGTGGGATTGCTGGGTCATATGGCAGTTCTATTTCCAGCTTTTTAAGAAATCTCCACACTGTTTTCCATAGTGGCTGTACTAATTTGCATTCCCACCAACAGTGTAAGAGGGTTCCCTTTTCTCCACACCCTCTCCAGCATTTATTGCTTGTAGACTTTTGGATAGCAGCCATCCTGACTGGCATGTAATGGTACCTCATTGTGGTTTTGATTTGCATTTCTCTGATAATGAGTGATGTTGAGCATCTTTTCATGTGTTTGTTAGCCATCTGTATGTCTTCCTTGGAGAAATGTCTGTTTAGTTCTTTGGCCCATTTTTTTATTGGGTCATTTATTTTTCTGGAATTGAGCTTCAGGAGTTGCTTGTATATTTTTGAGATTAATCCTTTGTCTGTTGCTTCATTTGCTATTATTTTCTCCCAGTCTGAGGGCTGTCTTTTCACCTTGCTTATAGTTTCCTTTGTTGTGCAAAAGCTTTTAAGTTTCATTAGGTCCCATTTGTTTATTTTTGCTTTTGTTTCTAAAATTCTGGGATGTGGGTCATAGAGGATCCTGCTGTGATTTATGTCGGAGAGTGTTTTGCCTATGTTCTCCTCTAGGAGTTTTATAGTTTCTGGTCTTACATTTAGATCTTTATTCCATTAAGCCCAGAGATAAATCCACGAACCTATGGTCACCTTATCTTCGACAAAGGAGGCAAGGATATGCAATGGAAAAAAGACCACCTCTTTAACAAGTGGTGCTGGGAAAACTGGTCAACCACCTGTAAAAGAATGAAACTAGAACACTTTCTAACACCATACACAAAAATAAACTCAAAATGGATTAAAGATCTAAAGGAAAGACCAGAAACTATAAAACTCCTAGAGGAGAACATAGGCAAAACACTCTCCGACATAAATCACAGCAGGATCCTCTATGACCCACATCCCAGAATTTTAGAAACAAAAGCAAAAATAAACAAATGGGACCTAATGAAACTTAAAAGCTTTTGCACAACAAAGGAAACTATAAGCAAGGTGAAAAGACAGCCCTCAGACTGGGAGAAAATAATAGCAAACGAAGCAACAGACAAAGGATTAATCTCAAAAATATACAAGCAACTCCTCCAGCTCAACTCCAGAAAAATAAATGACCCAATCAAAAAATGGGCGAAAGAACTAAACAGACATTTCTCCAAGGAAGACATACAGATGGCAAAAAAACACATGAAAAGATGTCTCTGAACTTTTAGATTGCTTCTGTGTCTTGGCTGTTATAAACAGTGCTGCTGTGAATATTGGTGTCCATGTGTCTTTGAATTCATTTTCTCTGGATATCTGCCCAGGAGTAGGATTGATGGACCACAGTGGAACTCAGTGCGTGCTCAGTCTTGTGCACATACTCCATCGTGTCCCACTTTCTGCAACCCCGTGGACTGCGGCCCACCAGGCTCCTCTGTCCATGGGATTCCCCAGGCAGGAACGCTGGAGTGGGTTGCCAGTTCCTTCTCCAGGGGATCTTCCCAACCCAGGGATCCAACCCATGTCTCCTACATTAGCAAGTGGATTCTTGACCACTGAGCCACCTTGGAAGCCCAGTGTAACTCTATTTTTTAGCATTTTAAGGAACTTCCATACTATTTTCCATAGTGGCTGCACAATTTATATTCCCATCAACAGTATAGGAGGGTTCTCTTTTCTCCACATCATCTTCAGCATTTATTATTTGTAGACTTTTTAATCATGGCCATTCTGAACAGTGTAGGATGTTACTTCATTGTAGTTTTGATTTGCATTTCTCTAATAATTAGCAAAGAAGCATCTTTTCATGGGTCTTTTGGCTATCAGTATGTTTTCTTTGGAGAAATGTCTGTTTAGGTCTTCTGCCCAATTTTTTGACTGTGTTATTTGTTTGTCTTTTCTCACGGAGTTGTATGAGCTGTTTATGTATTTTGGAAATTGTCATTAGTCACATTGTTTGTGAAGATTTTTTCCCAGTCTGTAGGTTGTCTTTTTGTTCATTTATAGTTTAGTTTGCTGTGCAAAAGCATGTAAGTTTGATTAGATCCCCTTTGTTTATATTTCTGTTGCTTTGAAACACTGACATATAAAAAAATTGTTACTATTTATGTCAAAGGATATTTTATCTATGTTCTAAGAGTTTTGTGGTATCATGTCTTAATATTTAAGTCTTTAAGGCCATTGTGAGTTTATTTTTGGGTAGGCTTTGAGGGAATGTTCTAACTCTACTGATTTTTATATGTGGCTGTCTGCTTTCCCAACATCAATTGCTAAAGAGACTGCCTTTTCTCCATTGTATATTCTTTCCTCCTCTGTTACATTTAAGTCTTTAATCTATTTTGAGTTTATTTTTGTGTATGGTGTGAGAAAATGGTCCAGTTTCACTTTTTTGCATTTAGGTGTTTAGTTTTTCTAGCACCGTTTACTGAAGAGGAAGTCTTTTCCCGTTGTATATTCTTGCCTCCCTTGTCGTAGATTAGTTGCCCATATAAATGTGAGTGATTTCTGGGTTCTGTTCTGTTACATTCATCTGTGTGTCTTCTTTCGTGCTGGCACCATACTGTTGGTTATTGTAGCTTTGTGGTATATTTTGAAATTAGAGTGCAAGGTACCTCCAGCTTTGTTCTTCTTTCTTAAGATTGTTTTGGCTATTTGGGTTCTTTTTTTGTTTCCCTACAAACTACAGAATTTTTCTAATTCTATGAAAAACACCATTGGAATTTGATAGGGACTTCTGCTTTGGATATAGTATAGCCATTTTAACAGTATTAAT